AAATTGAACGGACATTGCCGGTGCCGGTTTGCCATCCAATAATCATACATATGCATTAGAGCATAGCATGTCACACTTTGACTTTCAAAATAACTATACAAGAGTGAGGTATCATAAGAAAATAGTAGAATTTTTTATAGTAGTGGTAGATATTTATCACGATAGTTTATATCTTTTAATTCCAATAAACAAATAGCACCTTTTAATTCTCAAATAAACAAATATCCTTCCTAATCTCATCATTAAAAAAACAAATATCTTTCGTTAGAGCGAAGATATTTTTCTAATAAAAGCCCATAGCAATACGACCGTGTCATCATGTTAGGGTTATGACGCCATATTTATTGGTGTTTTTTATTTCAGATGGAATAAAGGAATAAACTGCTTTAGCCGTTCAGATATTAAAAAAGACACTGAACAAATATCACCAAAATTTCCCCCGCAAGAGACAAAAAGCTGTCCTTGACTTGACCATTGTTAGTATCACACATGCTCAGGGTCACTAACAAAACAATGATATTATAATTGTTCATGACAACTACCATACCAAACACCCTTTCCCCATATTAAAAAAGTGGAAAAGACATTATCACAAATTGAATTGGAGCACTAATTCCTCACATCCATCCAAACGTGATTATTAGGTGATGAAATTATTGAAGATATTCAAGCATTTAAGAGCATATTTTCAACATAAATACTCATTCTTCAGGCAGCCCTCAAAATTCAATTAAACACTTATAAAACTATCTTATATAGAATATAGATTATCTACTAAAAAACAGTTCTAATATTAAAAGCAGGAATTGAACTGACAACATTTCATGTGAATCAAAGCTGAGTAGGACTGTAATGGGAGGCAAAGCTCTCCCTAAAAAAAATTTATAATTGTTGGGTTCTCAAAACCTTACCCTCTCATCCAAGTGCTCTTTCTTAGATAATAGTTATGATCGTTTACAAGAACTTATAAAGTAGTTTTCTAATGAAAATAACAGAAAATATGATAAGTAATAGAAATCAGTTTCACCACATTCTCTCTTTACTATAGAAAATAACATGAACACGAGTGCTTATATAATAATCTATGTACATAAAAATAAAAAGTAGACAATTAATTAAAATATCTAGAGTCTATCAAAACAAATAAGTGTTCATGATAAATAAGTTTTTAATTAAAGTGTATATCGTTTAGTAAATGAGTAAGACCTAACGGCAAGTACTTTTGAAGCTGATAAAATGATTGTTAAACAGCTTATTTAAGCACTTAAAATAAGGTTAGGATCTAACTATCCAAACATATTCTTTACTAGATGTGGATAATCTGCATTTACAAACAATAATCACTATCCATACATGTCCCCACCCTCAAAAGGAAACACATGTTCAGAGAGATCCTGCTTTACTGTATACTTGGGATATGATTTTCAGAATCTTTGAAAAGGCAACATATAATTTGTAATAGAACTAACATGGTATTTCGTAATCATGTGATCCTGGGTCAATTAAATCACATAATGTAGGTTATTGTTAGATATCGGATTATTCCATATTATGTAAATAGAATATTCTATAAGTAATTAGGATATCATGTAAATAGGAAATAGAATATTATGTAATTATTATAGAATATTATGTAATTACTATGACACCTAGTTGAAACCACTAGGACACTCTTACTTCACAATAATGTTCCTCAACATTTTTGGGGTGATGCTGTCCTTACGGCTTGTTATCTCATAAATAGGATGCCATCATCTGTCCTCAACAATCAGATCCCTCACTCTATTCTATTTCCTCACCGATCTCTTCACCCATTACAGCCTAGAGTCTTTGGGTCTACATGTTTTGTCCATAATGTTAGTCCTGGGCTAGACAAACTCTCAGCTCGTTCTCATAAGTGTGTGTTCTTAGGTTATACAAGATCCCAAAAGGGATATAAATGTTACTCCTCGTCTCTTCGTTGATATTTCGTCTCTGCTGATGTCACATTCTTTGAGTCAGTCCCTTACTTTGGGACGTCTACAGGGTCTGAGTCCCTATCACCCATGTTTTCTTCATCTCCCACCATGCCCCACCGAACGTAGTTCTGTCTCCTTTGCCAGCCAATCCATCCCTATTAGCTCCTTTGTAGGTTTATCGGCGTCGACCACGGCCACCTCCACTACCATCAACTAATGCAGAAATCACCATAGACTCCCCTCCGGATCCAACTCCTTCGTCCCCTCCGGTCCTGCCCCCTGAGACTGATCTCCCAATTGCACTTCGCAAAGGTATACGTTCCACTCGTAATCCATCTCCTCATTATGTTAATTTGTCTTATCATCGCTTGTCTTCTTTGCATTATGCTTGTATTTCCTCTTTGTCTTCTGTGTCTATTCCTAAGACTGTAGGTGATGCTTTATCTCACCCTGGCTGGAAACAAGCTATGCTTGATGAGATGTGCGCTCTTCAGAATAGTGGCACGTGGGACCTTGTTCCTCTTCCTCTTGGGAAATCTGTTGTAGGTTGCAGGTGGATTTTCACAGTCAAAGTTGGGCCTGATGGACAAGTTGATCGTCTCAAGGCACGTTTAGTGGCCAAAGGTTATACACAGCTGTTTGGCCTAGATTATGGTGACACCTTCTCTCCCGTGGCTGAAATGGCCTGGGTTCGATTATTTCTCTCTATGGAAGCTATTCGCCACTGGCCCCTTTACCAGCTTGACATCAAGAACGCATTCCTCCATGGTGATTTGTCTGAGGAAGTTTATATGGAGCAACCTCCTGGGTTTGTTGCTCAGGGGGAGTCTTCTGGACTAGTTTGTCGTCTTCATAAGTCTTTGTATGGACTTAAGCAATCTCCTAGGGCTTGGTTTGAGAGATTTAACATTGTTATTCAAGGGTTTGGTATGACGCGATGTGAAGCTGATCATTCAGTGTTTTATCGTCACTCAGTTGTTTGGTGTATTTACTTAATTGTGTATGTGGACGACATTGTCATTACAGGTAATGATCATCATGGAATCACACAGGTAAAACAACAGCTTTGTCATTATTTCCAGACAAAAGACCTCGACAAACTTCGTTATTTCTTGGGCATAGAGATTGCCCAATCTAAACGGGGGATTGTGATTTCACAAAGGAAGTATGCTATGGATATTTTGGAGGAGATAGGACTGTTAAATTCCAAGTCAGTTGACACTCCGATGGATCCCAATGCTAAACTTATGCCAGCTCAGGGGGAGCCACTCTCCGATCCTGGAAAATATAGAAGATTAGTTGGAAAACTGAATTACCTCACTGTTACTCGCCCAAATATTTCATTTCCTGTTAGTGTGGTAAGTCAATTTCTTAACTCTCCTTGTGAAGGGCATTGGGAAGCTGTGATTCGCATCTTGAAATATATTAAAGGAGCTCCAGGAAAAGGCTTACTCTATGAAGACAAGGGACACACTCGAGTTGTAGGATACTCAGATGCAGATTGGGCAGGTTCTCCTTCTGATAGGAGATCCACCTAAGGTTATTGTGTTTTCTTGGGTGGTAACTTAATTTCCTGAAAGAGTAAGAAACAAAGTGTAGTAGCAAGGTCAAGTGCGGAAGCAGAATATCGAGCCATGGCAACAACAACCCGTGAGCTTATATGGCTTAAACAATTGCTTCACGACCTGAGATTCGGGGATGTTTCACAGATGACACTTATTTGTGACAATCAGGAAGCTCTGCATATTGCATCAAATTCAGTGTTCCATGAGAGAACCAAACACATTGAGATTGATTGTCATTTCATCAGAGAGAAGATTTTATCTAGAGAGGTCAACACTAGTTTTGTCAATTCAAATGATCAGTTAGCTGATGTTTTCACTAAGCCTTTGAGAGGTCCTCGAATTAATTATATTTGTAACAAGCTTGGTGCATATGACATATATGCTCCAGCTTGAGGGCGAGTGTTAGATATCGGAATATTACATATTATGTAAATAGAATATTCTGTAAGTAATTAAGATATCATGTAAATAGGAAATAAAATATTATGTAATTATTATAGAATATTATGTAATTACTATGGCATTTATGCCTCCTACTATATATAATGAGTTCCGATGTGTAGTAGCAAGGTCAAGTGCGGAAGCAGAATATCGAGCCATGGCAACAACAACCCGTGAGCTTATATGGCTTAAACAATTGCTTCACGACCTGAGATTCGGGGATGTTTCACAGATGACACTTATTTGTGACAATCAGGCAGCTCTACATATTGCATCAAATTCAGTGTTCCATGAGAGAACCAAACACATTGAGATTGATTGTCATTTCATCAGAGAGAAGATTTTATCTAGAGAGGTCAACACTAGTTTTGTCAATTCAAATGATCAGTTAGCTGATGTTTTCACTAAGCCTTTGAGAGGTCCTCGAATTAATTATATTTGTAACAAGCTTGGTGGATATGACATATATGCTCCAGCTTGAGGGCGAGTGTTAGATATCGGAATATTACATATTATGTAAATAGAATATTCTGTAAGTAATTAAGATATCATGTAAATAGGAAATAGAATATTATGTAATTATTATAGAATATTATGTAATTACTATGGCATTTATGCCTCCTACTATATATAATGAGTTCCAATGTGTAATTCACACACACGGATTCAATCCAACCTTCCTCTTGTTCTCTCATTATTCAACGATTATCTTAAGAATATATTGTAAAAAAAAACTAGAGATACAAATTTACAAGTATGAATCAATCCAACTCTATCAATAACTTTGACCATATTGACAACAGAACCCAAAACTCTATACCCTTGCTTACTGGAGATAGATGAAATTCGAACATAGACTAAAAATTTCCTTCATTTCCATACGCTATATAATGGAAGTTTTCATTTACAAATCGTATGACAGGATAAACAATTTGAGTAATGTGCTTTAAGGCTTCAAAAAAGGAGCTAAATCCTAACCTCAATGTACTGGTTACCTGTACATTCTCACCTATCCAAAATTTTCCAACCAAGGGTACTAAATAACAGGAACACTCCCATTTGGTTGTTGCAAGGTTTCCAGGCGATTTCCTACAAAACAAACATATCATGCTAATGGGAAACTTATTCACATGCTCATAAATCATAATAGCCTAATGCCAAAACTAAAAATGATTGTAACACTGTGACGGAAACCGGTACAAATAGAGAAATATAATACAAATAATTTACTGTTATTGATGATAGAATAGGTAGTTCAATAGAGGCCCACAACCAACACTCAAAATCTCGACATAAATAGAATAAAAGATAAAAGATTCCTATCTAAGAATTTTGAGAGTAGTGTCTCTCCCTTCCAAATAACCTCTTCAAATTTTCCAGATAAATCATCTAACCTACAATTTCCTCATTTTATTCACTCCAAATAACTATTCAACTGCTACTAAATGTTAATATTAAAAACACTAACTACTACTAAAAAAAGTAACTGTATGATAAATAGAACTGCCACATTCAGTTTTGGTTCCTAATAATTCATAAGGTCTAACACATTTCTGGTTGCCTCTTTTCAAAGCATACACTTAAAAACTAATTGTATCAAATCAGAGAAGCATCAAACTGCCGTGAATGCCACAAGCAGAGACATTCATTTAATGATTTCGGAGTTTTCATAATTTAGCATAAATAATATATTACAGTTACGGTCTCTGGTCTGGGATCACGTTGGCACAGTCCTAGACACAGTAGAACCTTTTCGATTTATACTGAAAGCAGAAGCGAATTCGTATCTCCTTAAATTCACAAGTTTTTAATAATGATTATGATGATTTTTATTATCAATCTAAATGCCTTAAAATAAGCTTCTAGGAAAAAGAGTCCTGATTATTAGGTTAATACCTATCATTTCTCTAAAATTACCATCATTTAAATTTAAATGATAATATTCTATTTAATAGAAAAAATGTGTTTTAACCATAAATCTTATCCTAAAAATACTCAAACTCAAATTTAAAAATTATGTTAGGCTAAGTAATTAAAAATAAATAAAACAATAAATTATTATCATCATAACTAATCCTAATATGCAGAATCAGAGATCTTCCTTTTCTGGATTATGCTTTCCCACAAATGCATCCATATCATCGCTTCCCCTCTCGGCGTTGAGTGTGTCCTCAAGTTCAAATTTGGGATAGGCCTTGCAAAACTTATCAAAAAAGTTTCCACATTACATCTTTTCGAGTATATCCTATCCATGGGATGGGACTAACAATTCTCAACTTCCTCTATTTAATCTACTGCAAATAGTGGTTTGGGATAGCAGGACAAAACCATTGTTGAAGGTTATACTCCTATTATCTCGTGTCGTAAGCATTCCTTGTGAACACTTCCATTTGTGTTCAAATGCTCAAGCCATATTCATAAGAATTCCTATATTTTCTAGTTGTTGAAGTTCTCAATGTATATTCTCAATTCATCGATCAGCCCATCAATAAATAAGTCCACTTGTTGTCTAGGATTGGCTTAAGATCATGGGTTCCGGCAAGCAAGGACTGAAAATGGCATTGACAATCTTCCATGGATTTAGTTTGCTCGAGGATGGCGAGTTCTCTCAATGGATTATTGCCCATTGGTGGTCCAAACCATATATGGCAACATTTCCATTTCCATTTCCATTTCAACCACATTTCTATCCAACTTGTTAATCTCGAGATCTATCTTAATATTTTCGCTAATCTCAAGATCTATCTTAATAGTTTTTCATATAGTATTTCTAAGTCTTCATCTAATATAAATGAGGCCCTCCTCCATTTCAACCACCTAGGGACGGCAATGGGCAGAGTTTGACAGGGCACTATAGTCGTAACTATCCCCATATCCAATGGGGTGTGTACAAAAATACAGTTTTATATAATAATATAAAATAAACTATATAAATATTGTTAAGAGTTTCACATCGGATAATATATGACATGAATATGTATTTATAAGTGGAGGCAATCCTCACTTTACAAGCCAGTTTTGTAAAGTTGAGTCAGAACAATTCTTAGCAAATATATATTGTTCGGGTATGGGGTGGGGGTACTAGGGTACTCGTACTTGTTTTGTGAATTTTTACCCTCCAACCGAAATGGGTCCAATTGTCATTCCTACAACCATCCAACTTGAATTTGATGTTTATACCTCCTTCTCTTTCTCAATCATTTTGTACAATGGACTCTAGATATTTAAACCACATAACTTATGGTAAGATATGATCTCCAACTTTCACATTTGTTCTGGACTGGGCCCGACAGGCCCAAAAGCGTTGCAAAGGCCCAGTCCAAATGGACTTACAAGGGCCACGCCGACCAAAGAGTACGACCGTGCCCGACGCGTAGTCGCTGGCTCGACAGTACACCTCCAGCTCGACATGCTGTGGTCCAGCACCACATTCTGAGGCCCTGCTCGACGTTACCTCGAGCACCCCAGCTAGGGCAGACTCAGTCCACTGTTCCCCCAACGATACTCCGAAAAGACCGCGTCTCCGTCCGCCCGCACTTCACGCAGAACATCCAGGAAGGGGACCACGTGCGGGTCCCCACTACGCACGTAGAACCTGGCAGTTCCTCCATTGGGCCAAACCTGCCCGGCCCAATGAAGGAACCTTGGCCCAGCGCTGGGGGCTATAAATACCCTCTGCTTCCAGAGGGTCAGGTATTCATCATTCTAACCTTACACTTGCTATTATCTGCTCGTACTCCTACTTACTTCAGCATCGGAGTGTCTTGCAGGTACCCCCCACCTCGTTCAAAAAAGCTTTCTGCTCGGAGCCAGCCGTGACGGTCCATTTCTGATCAGGTCAGATCAGTGGCGCCGTCTGTGGGAAACTAGCTTCCCCGTCTAACGAACAATTCTAAAGACCAAAGCTCAATTCAACTACCTGTCATGGCTGATCCAGCTCGCGACGAGCAGCCCGTCCGTGTCGCCGACACTAATAACGGTACCACGGACAAGAATGGAAACCAGTCAATTGGGCACGAAGCCATACGCTCGACAAATCACGCCGTCCCATGCACGACCACATAGCCCGTTTCCACGAATGGTTGCCTCCCCGACATCCTGAAACTCAATGTGCTCTTCCTCAAACCAACTACGCGGTCACTCTCCAACATGTCGACCCAAGGTATGAACATGGCGAGCCACACCATGAGGCCCACGGCCAAGACCATGAACATACCGGGCGCGATCATGAATCAGGCGCCCTGGATCATGAAGACCCCGGGCAGCGCTGAAGTTTATCACCTAAAACTATGAATATGCCGACCACAAACATGCGTTTGCCGGTCCTAGGCATGAATATGTCGGGCTAAGTATGAGTTTACCGGGCTAATCCCACGCGCACAGCCCCTAAAACATCTACAAACGCCAAAAATCATGCATTTTAACAGGAAAATGAAGAAGATAGACCACTTACTTGAATCAAAGAGTAGGATTTCGCTACGGAGTAGAAGAATCTGTGACAGAAGATTGCGACTGGAAAAAATCTGGAAGAGCAGCAGCAGAGAGAGCACGGAGAATAGAAACGTGTTATGGGGCCCAAGGTTCCTATTTATAGTGATGACGTGGAATACCAAACGTCACCTCGGGCAACCACGGAACCTCTCTCCTCGACGCGCTGCTCCCAACGCAATGATGACCCTATCCCCATAGGGTGGCGGCACAGTTCCCGAAAGATACCTCGTATGCTCGACAGACGCGCCCGGCGAGGATCCTCCAGGCATCCACCGCGGAAGATGTCTCCGAGCACGGCACGAGGAGGCCCTCGAGGGCCTGCACCTCTGACCCGGGCACGAGACCTCGACGAGGAAACGACCTGACTTCAAGCCATGGCTCCTCACAAAGGAACCACGACTTGGGGGGCTCCTGTTCTGGACTGGGCCCGACAGGCCCAAAAGCGTTGCAAAGGCCCAGTCCAAATGGACTTACAAGGGCCACGCCGACCAAAGAGTACGACCGTGCCCGACGCGTAGTCGCTGGCTCGACAGTACACCTCCAGCTCGACATGCTGTGGTCCAGCACCACATTCTGAGGCCCTGCTCGACGTTACCTCGAGCACCCCAGCTAGGGCAGACTCAGTCCACTGTTCCCCCAACGATACTCCGAGAAGACCGCGTCTCCGTCCGCCCGCACTTCACGCAGAACATCCAGGAAGGGGACCACGTGCGGGTCTCCACTACGCACGTAGAACTTGGCAGTTCCTCCATTGGGCCAAACCTGCCCGGCCCAATGAAGGAACCTTGACCCAGCGCTGGGGGCTATAAATACCCTCTGCTTCCAGAGGGTCAGGTATTCATCATTCTAACCTTACACTTGCTATTATCTGCTCGTACTCCTACTTACTTCAGCATCGGAGTGCCTTGCAGGTACCCCCCCACCTCGTTCAAAAAAGCTTTCTGCTCGGAGCCAGCCGTGACGGTCCATTTCTGATCAGGTCAGATCAACATTTATGTTAGAAATGCTTCTCCTTTTAATTAATTCATATGATTTAAATATTGTATGAAACAATGTTGATTTAGGCATAAGAATAAAAAAATTTAAGATAATGTTAAACCAGTCACACGGTTTGCAATTCGCTTCAGTACGTGGTACGAATGCGGGTACGCGGTTCGTAACTCAAATAATTAGGTACACGAGGGGTATACATAGTCGGTACGCTATTTGAGTTCGTGATACGTTCAAATATAATAATCGGTAAGTTATTATTAAAGAAATGGTTTACTTAGAATAAAAAATGGTTGGGAGAAAAACTTTGTAGTCTCACATCGACTACATTACTAATATTGCTTTGAAAAGTCAGTTATAAATACCTAGTGTATACTCACAACTCTAATATCAGCTTAGTATGGTCATTAATATTCACTTTTACCAAAGTGATACAGACCTCATCATAATTCAAAAATTAGTTAAAAATTAGTTTTTATAATTTCTAGTTTATTTGATAAATATTATGCCATTTAAATTTGAAATTTATATTTGGTTCGCGGGTACTTCATTTTATACGAATTCGTACGAACCAATTCGTAAAAGTACCGCGAATTGGTATGCGCGAACCAATTCGCGGTTCGTAGGAGGCACCTGCGAAAATTATGTGACTATGTATTAAACACAATATAAAGATTCAGTTATATTTTAAGATATAAATGTCATTTTAAAATGAAACAATCAACATTTATAAACTAACACTTTATTATTTATAAGAAATTCAAATTCAACCTCTATTATAATATGTTACAAGCTTAAGACATGATATTAAATTTGGTGCTCGATTTAACTATTTTTTGTAATAATATCTTGAGTTATAAATATTATTTTGATATGAAAAATGTGTCATATAAAAGTTAGAAATATTTTCTATAACTCTTGTGAATACAATGAAGATAACATAATTGTTTTACTTATCATATTATTGTTCACAGTTGACTATTTAGTTAACTTTAATGCTTAGCAATTTCACATTAAACAAACTCTCATCAATTTTACTAGTAGTCCTACATTGAAAAACATACTTTCTTATACTCTCCTCTTCTCCTATATATTAGAGTGCTCAAATACTCATGAGATGCATCCAAGAATTTTGAGAAGTTATCTTTGTTAAGAAAATTGATCATCGAGTCAAATATAAACTATATGGCCTTTAGTTAAAATTTTGTTTTTTTCAATTGATTTTTTTGGTCTATTTAATTCGAGTTATCGAGTCGAATTGAGTTTGAGCTAATGAACCGAACCGAGTTGTTCATAAACTTTAATCGAGTCGAGTTTGAGTTCGAAAAATGTTTGTGACATATTTGAGTTTCGAGTTTGAGTTCGAAAAATGTTTGTGACATATTTGAGTTTCGAGTTAATCTAATTCTTATTGAGTCGAGCCCAACTGAACCAAGTTTGACTCAGCTCGACTCATTTCCAGCCCTACTTATTAATCTTTGAATCGTGTAATCTTACAATCTTTGAAATGTTTATGCGATCATGCTCATGAATGAATTTAAATTTATATAAATATTTGTAGTGTAATTTAAGGTTTTAATTATCTTGTGAGTTATGAATTTAAATTTACAGAAATATTTCAAATGATTTAAGGTTTTCTTTTTCTTACTAATGTCATGTTATATGCATATATATAAGTTTTAGAGTTTTGTATAATATTACGATTAGTGTTTACGATTCCACGATTGACGATAGTACATCCCTTTTCAAATTTTGTGTAAAACATCGATTTTAACTACATTGCGTGTTCCATCATAAGTGGAAAATTCCATTTTGGAATATCAGGGAATCATGTCTCCCTTCATCTGCGAGTTGTTGTTGTCTTCCTGACTATTATTGTTGTCAGTACTATTTCTTGCATCTTCCAAATTGTTCTTTCTGGAACTTTTATTCACTCCTTGAACTATCAAGGAGATGTTAGCTATCTGCTCTTCTAGAAAACTTTGCCTGGCTGTCATCTCACAGTTACGAAATTCTACATGATTAAAGCTAAATCCGCGTCGCCTATGTTGCCTCGTAATACCAAATTGTTATGGTCTTTCGTCATGAAAATTTGCGTTGACACAAGTCCTAAATGCGATAGAACCTCTCCTTCAACCTATGGGAAAGACAAGTGGACTCGTCCATGGTCTTTGGTCAAGAAAGTTCGCGTTGACACAAGTCCAAGACACGATAGAATTTTTCCTTCAACCTATGGAAAAGACAGAAGTGGACTCGTCCTTAACAGAGTCTCTTCTTGAATTCAAAAGTTTTTTTTTAATAATTATGGATGATTTTTATTCCTAACTTGAATTCCTTTACATCCACAGGGTTATAGTAGAAAAAGAGTCCTATTTATTAGGTTAATAATCAACTTTTTTCTAAAATTACTATCATTTAAATGATAATATCCTATTTAATAGAAAAAATCTATTCTAACCCTAAATCTTATCCTAAAAATACGTAAATTCAAATTTAAATTTTTTATTATTCTAACTTATTAAAAATAAATATAATAATAAATAATAAATTCTAATCGGCATAACTAATCCTATTCAGCAGAATTAAAGATCTTCCTTTTTGAATGCCTTTAACTAGGCTTACAGTAGAAAAGGAGTCCTGATTATTAGGTTAATAATTATTTTTTTCCTAAAATTACTATCATTTAAATTTAAATGATAATATATTTTTAATAGGAAAAAACTGTTATAACCCTAAATCTTGTCCTAAAATTACTTAAATTCAAATCTAAAATTTTGGTCATGCTAACTTATTAAAAAAATAAATATAAATAAAATAATATTTCCGAATCTGCTAACTAATTCTAACTGGAAGAATTAGAGATCTTCCTTCTCTGATAGTGTTTTCCAACAAATGCATCCATATCAATTACCTGAGTTGCTTGCAAAAGAATAAGCCTTTGGAAAACTGCCTCTAGTTAAACCAACATGAGTAGATGCAGACCTTGAAACATTGTCAAGAAAAAACTGATTTGACAAGCCATCACTAGGCACACCACCTGCTTTAAGCAAGCAAACTTCTGAGCTTTTTGCAAGAATATGATCAGAATTTTTTGCGTACATCATTCCCGAGTAGCTCTGTTTGACAAATAAATAATGAGTCAGTTTATGGTCATTGGCATGGAAGTCAATTTTTTATGTGGAAAGGGGGAAGGAATGACAGGCAAGTCATTTAAAATTCAAATAGAAAGACTTAATTTCTCATTACAATCTTCCTTCACTGATTTTTACGTGAAGGAGACATTAAACTGTGTTTGTCTGATTTATACTTCCGAGTCTGACACTGAACTGCATACAAAATATGTAACATAGGTTGCAGGACTTATAATTAAACACAAATCACCTCCTTGTTGACCACATTGTCCATTTGCTCAAATGAAGGGTCCACCTGAGACGAACCTTGCAATGCAACCATCTCTTCATGTGATGTCTTTGGACGCTCGACATCCGCACATACTTCCTCGCACAAGTTCTCAAAGTACATATGACGAATAGAAGCACGTAGTCGATTGGTCCTTTGAGAATAATATATCTTTGTAGCAAGGGGTGCCGGAAACCCTAAAGTAGCAAAAAAACATGCAAGTGTTGAACCAGCACCAGAGTGAAAAATCATATTAGAACTACTCAAAACTGAAGAACTGAAGGAACTAAGTGTTTGAGGAATGACTTTCATTTCACAAGAGTAGCAAATAAGTTTAAGACTTGTTTGACTGAAAAAGTATCAAGATTTTTATACCATTATTCATCATGTGTTGGTGTTGCATATGGACCTGCTGAACATTTTTATGGAAAGGATCTCCATGTTCAGATACAATTTCTTCAGTCATATCTTTCCCTAAATGGAATCAGGAAAAAGAATTGGGGTTATTCTTTCCCTGGCCAGAACCCAAACCAAAAAGATATAACAAACTCAGCTGAAAAACAAGGTGTGTACTGTGCATTCATACATATAAAGCCAACAAAAATACAATTGGAAACGAAAAACTTTATATAACATCATCAAAAAGCTCTGAAAGATCAGAATTTATTGGCTAAAACAATCAACAAAGGAGGCTTTGACCATGCTTGGAAGAAAACAATGAAACAATTTCGGAGGAGTTTCTCAAGAAAAAAAATTAGATATCTTTTGGTGTCCAGATAATAAGAACTTAATAAGAATAGAACTAATATTTTTCATTTAAACTCAAATGTCATATTTGACGAGATTGATACATTTATTTGAAAATTACAACTTTGGGCCCACATGGAGAGGAACATGCTTGTGTCCAATCTTAAACTCAATTTTCATATTTGACGCTATGGATTTGACATGTTTTCAAAGTATTACATGTGCCCATGTTTTAGCATGTCTTAAACAATGAGACATGACGGGGAAAAGTTAATAATTGTTTGTACTTCAAGTACAGCAATTATTTCTTAAAGTGATAATTCATTAGCCAAAATCTATTAGAAAACTTTCATTCTGGTGAGTCCAGCAAGAGCACATGACTTCAGCACACAAATTTGGGATACTTACGGGTGGTTCCATTTATAAAACTCACAGCTTTTGACACTCCAAACTCTGTCCCGTGCTCCTCTATTACAGCTATATGTGTGCTTGGCATCCTGCATCAGACACTAGATTCAGAACAAATTTACTTGAAAACGGAAAGAGGAAACATTGAACTACAAACATAACTCCATAGTAATACTCAAGATAACTAAGGAAATATCCTGGGAGCAAATGATTAACACTTTGAATCCAAGCCCAAATACTTGATTATGAAGAAACTTGTTACTAGCTTTGCCAATAATTTTCAGTATAATAGTAAATTATTTTTAAAGGTAGAGGAAAGAAGTGCAGATATCCAACACGATCAAAGAATTTGAATTTGAATTCATTTTCTGTTGCTATTAAATTATTCCAACTGCAAGATTTATCTGGATGAACTAAGAAAGCATACAATTTATGACGTTTTGTTGGAGGATACATTACTGAAGCTTGGAGGACTCTATTCCCACTATTAATTCCAGTATCATCCAACATAGATGCCGGCACCGCATCTATAAAAGTTGAGAATTCAAATTGATCAGAACATCAATATTATGCATAATAAACACCGCACACAGAAAGTAAGACTCCTGAAAACAATTTTGTGAGATACACCCTACCATTTTATAGGGAAAACACGGCCATCTTACAGAGAGATATGATGGAAAAAAAAATAATTTTTTTGGTAAATCTGAGATATTGTGTCATTAGCCAATTCTTTTAGAAAAAGTTCATGGTGGTGAGTCAATAACATGACTTCAGCATATAAAAATAGGACACTCGCGAGTAATTCCGTCAGTTACACTCGGTGTTTGTCACACAGACTATTCAATGGCTTTCTAGAACAGCAAGACATGTTCAAGTAGTTTCTCAATAAAAATTTGTATATGCTTCAATGTCTAGAAATAAAGAATTTTACAAGTACGAAACTAATCTCTAATTCTTAAATTTGAACTCACTTTTCACATTCAATGCCATGGATACATTTATTAGAAATTTGCAACTTTGGGAACGCATGGAGAGAAACAAGCTTACAACCAATCTTAAATTTATGAATGCCGAACAACTTGATTTGATCAAACTCTTCCATATAAAAAAATTACTTTCTTGAAAAGTAAATTTTAATTTTAATATTACCTCTTAGTTATTATTCATATTCAAGAAATTTCCGGTATGAAATGTGTCTAAAGCTTGCATGCTATGTTTTCAAAATACAAGCCTGTGTTTTAGCATGTCAAAAACAATGATAGCATGTCAAAAACAATAAGATACGGCAATTATTTCTTCAAATGATAATTCATTAGCCAAAATTTATTAGAAAAAATTCATCCCGGTAAGTCCAGCAAGAACAAATGGCTTCAGCACACAACACTTACGAGTGGTTCCATTTGTTAAACTCGCAGCTTTTGACACTCCAGACTCTGTTCCATGCTCATCTATTACAACTGTATGTGTGCTTGTCGTCCTGCATCAGACATTATACATTCAGAACAAATTTATTTGCTCGAAAACGGAAAGAAGAAACCGAAGAAACATTAAACAACAAACAACAACCAAGACTTCTCTCACTAGCTAAGGTCGGCTACATGGATCAAATTCCCCCATGATTTTCTATCTAATTCGTTAATCTCGAAACTTTTTTTTAATAATTTATCTTATAATTTTTCTAGGTCTTTCTCTACCTTTAGTTGTTTGACTCTTCTCCATCTTACCTACTCTCCTTACAACAGAATCTACAGGTCTTTTCTCTACAACTCAAGTCATCTAAGTTTATTTTCCACCATCTTTTCTACTAATCTTGTCATTTATAATCTTATCTTGTCTAGTCTTACCACACATCCAACGCAACATTCTTATCTCTGCTACACTTACTTTATTCTCGTGTTGATTCTTAACCGTCCAACATTCTGCCTTGTACAACATTGCATGTCTTACTGCTGTTTGATAAAAAAAATTCTTCAGCTTGAACAGTACTTTTGTGTCACATAAAACCCCCGAGGCCCTCCTCCATTTTAGCCACCAGACTTGAACTCAATGGTCTACATCCCCTTCTATTTCTTCATCATTTTGTATTACAGACCCAAATTATTTAAACCACGTAACTTATGTGATGATATGGTCTCCAACTTTCACCACTAAGTTAGAAACGCTTCTCCTTTTACTGAACGTACATTCCATATACTCCGTCTTACTTCTGCTTAAGCGAAAGCCATGCGTTTCTAAGCCTTGTCTCCATGTCTCCAACCTCTCATTAAAATTCTTCTTCGACTCTCCCAGTAGGACTATATCATCTCCAAAAACATACATCTCGGAGCTAGCTCTTGGATGTGTTTCGTGAGTACATCCAAAATTAAGGTAAAAAGGTAGGGCTTAGGGTTGAACCTTTTTGCACTCCTATTGTAATTGAGAAATCGTCTGTCTCTCTCTCATGTGTCTGCACTAGTTAGCAGCCCTTCATACATATCTTGGATAGCTCGAATATAGACAATTTTAACATCTCTCTAGGGTTTTCTACAAAATCTCTATGGACACTCTATCGTACGCCTTCTCCAAATCAAGGAAAATTAGGTGCATGTCAATTGAATTCCAAAAATAACTCCATAGTAGTCAAGATTATCGTGAAAATATCTTGGGAACAAATGATTAACAATCACTTTGAGCCCAAGCCCAAATACTTGATTATTGAGAAACTAGCTTTGCTATAGTTTTCAATATAATAGCAAATAAATACTTTTAAAGGGAAGGGAAAGAAGTGCAGGTATTCAACTGGATAAAAGAATTTGAATTAATTTTCTATTGCTATTAAAATTATTCAAACTACAAGATATATCTGGATGAACTAAGAAAGCATACAATTTATGATGTTTTGCGGGAGGATACATTACTGAAGCTTGGAGAACTCTATTTCCATAACTAACTCCAGTGTCATCCAACATAGATGCCGGTGCCACATCTACAAAAGTTGAGAATTCAAATTGATCAAAACATCAATATTATGCATAACAAACACGGTAACCTGAAAGTAAATCCAAAACAGGGAAATTGTGGGACAATATTTAGTATATTAATTCAACAACTACTCTGGAACAGAGTTGCAATTCACATTTACAACTTATAGAAAACTGGCACAAAGAATTTGAGTCGTGGATCTCTTCCCTTCCCAAATGTTCGTCTCTTACAATAACCACTTTATAACTCTTCTCCAATTTATTCTAAATATACACACACAAAATTAGTAAAACTTAACTGCTCCTAATAATATAATACTACTGCCACTAAACAACAAATAATATAATGCTTGCCAAATCAAAAAATCATAGCAGCCACTCATCTCCATTCCAGATGGGTTCAAATGAAATATAGGCTGCATCTATAGAGTCAAGTGCTATAACTGTAAGGTTGTGTCTGTGCACTACAAAGTCATATCATTCGAATCTTACATTTTAGTTTTACAAAACCCACTAGCCACACTCGTTTTACATTTGGGCATGTCATGAAAAGAAGAAAAAATAAATCGACAAAGAAGCAATTATTCGTCCAACAATAAATTGACAAATTGTTTTAACCTTCGAAAAGTTACTACAAATAGGAATTTTGGTCAAGAGAAGTGAGGGCCAAAGATTTATGTCAACTTATTGCACTAAACAAGAAAAACTTTTACCATTAACATCATTTGAAAAGGAAGTCCCTCTGATTTGACTGTTCAAGTGGGTTTGTGACACAACAGTGTCAATATTATCCAACGACTCAGACTTTTTCTTCCGCTTCCCAACTGCAGTAATTGATTATGAAGGGTTACAAGGCTCAAAAATTTAGTTTACAAGTACCAATCACTAAGATGCATTCAGAAAAACAAAACAACTTCCATTAAAGAGGAAATCACAATCGATAAGTCATAACTACAAATTTCAAAATTTGTGATTATTATAATATAGTAATAGTATCTTCAATAATTGGCAAGAAACTAATTAAATAACTAGCGTTTTATGGATACCTGCAGAAGAAGCTGATAACTTTTTCTTATCATTCCTTGGAGGTTTTCGATTCCTTGTGTTGCCATTAAGCTCCAGCCCAGTCTGTTCTGTGAGCTTTAATGATCTGCAAAGTTCTGATAAAATGGAGAAAAATAAGGAGGTAAAAATGGGGAAGATTCAATGTTTAGTAACTTCCAAAGCAAGGAGAAAATAAAAATATTATGAGACAGCCAACCGGTAATCAGTTGTAAACATAAAATATCATAAAAATAAGAACCAGACGGTTATAAAACAAGAAAGGCCACCAGACCTGCATGAGCAGCAAATTGGCTGTCCTTGATTGGTTTCTTGCAGTTGTTGCATCGTACCTCAAAAATGATACAAGCAATCAGTTAAATGAATTGATTCGAGATTACATTTCAAGTAGATAATTTCTACAGACAAAGAAATTTGTAATATATAAATCAATTTCATAATTTAGAAAGTAACTATAAAACAGAAGCTGCTTCCAACAAACTATTGGATGAAACAATAATCCCTTGTGTCGTGATGAATATACCATCCTTTTAGTATGTAAGAAGGTCAAATTCACTGATGCTTTTGAACAGACAAATAAAAACAAAATGCACTCACACAAAATAACACTCAACTCTACACGTCGCAGTTGCATATTAGAGAAACATTCAAAAGTAAAAATCAAGCAAGAGGTTGAAAGGCTACAGCCCATAATGCCTACTGGACATCTTAAACTTGAGAAATCAATCATAGATTAAATCAAGGATTACAAATAAAATAATTGTATAATTTCATAAAATATTTTGAAGAGTTCACTTATATGCCAAACCAGGGTAATGAGTCAAAGTCAAACTATATCTAGAAAATCTAGGATAAGGTATGTACTCTGCTTCAACTCATACATTAAACAAGAACACAACACTAGTTAAATAATCAACTTACTCACTGCAAATATCAGATGAATTGCAAAGAGGGTCATATAGGGATTGATAGAATTTAAAACAAAGCCAGATGAAAAAAATCATTACAGTAAAAGACTAAACTGAAATGTTCAAGTTAAGATATCCTAATTCACGAGCATAAGGAAACCATATGAAAGACTCAACTAAGGCCCTTGGGAAGAAGCACATTAATACTAGTAAACTAGCACACAGAATAAAGTATAAAAAGAAAGCAAACCTTACCAGCTTCAAGGGATCAGTCATGGGTCTCTCACCATAAACATGCATATCTGTAATATAGAAAATGTTAAGCGGCAGTTTAAGTATCAAAATATAATAAATTGTATCAGAATTGGTACCCGCATAACAAAAAAGAAACAAAACAAAAAAATATTTAGTAATATTCACACTCATTCTGCTAAAAATTAGAACCCTGAATTAAATAAAATGTAAGAAAGAAAAACAAATTAATATCCAACAGAGACTATTCACCAAAGAGAAAGAGAGCAAAACAACCTTCTTCGCTAAGCAAATTTGCTTCATCTGCCTCACGCAGCTGTCTATAAATATACATAGCAGCTGATTTCTGCCGGGCATAGTCATCTTCTAAAGCCATGCACAAACAAATTATATGAATCAAAATTTGAAAAATAACTTCCATAAATTTAAAATATAAACAGTAATACATTTTGATAAACATATAAATAATAGTCTTAAATATGCAGCTGATTCCTAATTTCCTATAGCAAGAGTATAGATTTTAATCCCAGTAAAAACATTGTTTTTGTTTTTAATCCTTACGAATAACCCTGCAAAATTAATTCATATTGAAATTGATTTGATTGTAATCCCTTAAAATAAAGATTTAAATGAATAATACAATGATCAATCATAATTATAATAAGAAGCAAAGACTAAAATAAAATATCAAAGACCAAAAACTAAAAGTATATATTTGAAGAGAAAAAGGGATATGCAATGACACTATAAAATAGTTTTACACCGTCAACAATCAACATCCTTTATTCTGTCAAATCAAACTGATATTTTTAAGTTAGTTGTGTGACATAGCTGAATGATAAATCTTTATTAGATGATACTGTAAAACTATTTTACACACTGTAAGTGCACTACCTTTAATTTCATATTTGAAATGACTAAAAATTAATAAAATAAATTTAATTAATATGCACTTAAGGTCGGTGTAAAGATATTTAACACTTTCGATTAATTATAACCTAAAATATAATTCAAACCTAAATATTGTTATATGATTTTCATTTACAAAACAATGTCAGAATAATAATAAATAATAATAATAACAATAATACGTAACACTGAGAAAATCTAAGAGGCAATACCTGCTACAGTTTGAGAGAAACGTCCAGCGGCCATAGGCCTTGGCATAGCCTCCATTCTACCGCTTCCAGTAGAGCGTGTCATTGAGAGGAAAAAACGGTAAACCTACAACGATGATCGTAGCATTACACGAAATCAACACAATGAGTAACAGCAAACGATATGAATGCGGAATAGGAAAAACGAAATGTCGCAAAATAAAATAAGGATTGTATGAAAGGGAAAAACGTTACCTCAGGGAGAAAGCGAGGAGAACCCTAGAAGAGAGTGGAAACCGTGGAATTGGATTGAATTGGGAACGGAGATGATCAGAGAGAAATGCGTGAAGAGAAAATGCAGAGGAGGTTTTGGCAATGGTGGGAGAGAGAAGATTGAGAAGAAGATGATGACGTGGAATTTGGTTTGATTTTGTTTTGGGTAATGTGGTAGAGGAGAGATAATGTGATTGTTTTCTCTCTTCTCCTCCGAGGAGAAGGGGAAAACTTAAAGCTTTTGAGTGGCGAATTCAGTATTGAGTTGATATATTCATAGGCGACAATTCACACACCACTCTACCATGTTTTTAAAAAAAAAAATTTTTTTTTAATTAATAGATTAAAAAAATAAGTTAAATATAATTTTTTTTTTATAAATATTTCAAATTTCATTTTTAATCCTTATTAAAAAAAATGATAAATTTTAATCCTATTAAATTTGTGTTAATGTAACTTTAGTTCTCATTATTTTCTATAATTTTAAAACTTTTTAATTACCTTTAAAATTTTAAAATTTTGAATAATATTTTCCATACGTGTTTAGAATACTATAAAATATTTTTTTATCGAATTTTAGAATTTTTTAAAATTAGAAGAATTAAAGATGAATTTTTTAAATTTTAAAAGATATTGATAAAAGTAATAAAAATCTCTACTTAGAAATCAAATTTTTAGTTTCTTTTTTTCCGAAAAACTTTTTATAACGTTCTAAACATATTTAAAAAATAGTCATTCAAAAATACATATTGGTTTAACAACATAGACTAAAACTATGTGTATAATAATTTTGTAAGGACTAAAACGTGTCATTTTTTTAATAAGTACCAAAAATAAAATTTGAGATATTTATAGAGACCAAAAACATATTTAACCCAAAAAATAATTATTTTTTATGAATGGTCATCGGTCGATCATATCGGTCTCGGTCGACCATTCTGAAGGATGTACAATCCTTCTAGAATCTTCTTAACTTACTAGAACTATCCTACATGTGATTACAATATATAATACGGTGGAAGAACTGACTTTTTATTTTTCGTTTTATCGCAAATGTTGCAGATAGCAAGAGTCGTCACCGTCTTTTCTTTTATCCAATAAAGGAATGGGTGAAAAGAACAGGAAAGACCTTTGAGAATTTTGAGTTCGAGGATAGGTTATGAAAAGGAAAGGTGTTAGCACCCTTTTCATCCGTAGTTATCTACGGGCTCTTAATTGCTAGCTCAATTTTTGAAAATGCTTTGTGTTTGTGTATGTTTGCAAATATTTTAAAAATGCCTAAGTGACTTGAAGATTTGGTTATGAATTTGTCACAAAAACGACCTATAATGCAACCTTAGATAACCAACTTCATTTCTTCGAAACTTCTAGCTCAAGCATGATAAAATTGTGTTCTAGGATATTTTGGAAAGCTTGAAACATTGTCTACAATTTTCATATTGTGAGTTTTGGCTAAATCAAATGGGAACTTGATGAAAATTGGCCAAGAAGTTGAGATGAAAAACTGACTAAAACTTGTTGAAAAAATTTCTAAGTGTTGGATAAAAAATATCACAACTTCATGGGCTCATATCTCTTAATCCAAGTACTTTTTTTTGAAATCAACCCTTATTGAAAAAGTTTTAGAATTCATCAATCCCTACAACTTCCATGTTGAAAGCTTTTTTGAATCAACTTGGATCTTAGTGAAAAATGGCTATGAAGTTAGGACTTTTGTTAAGAACAAAAACACTTAGAATTTTTCTAAGTGTTAGAAAATTTCCCAAATTTGACTTTTGTTGACTTTTTGATTCTTGATGATCAAGTTTGATAGTTTTGAATATCTTGATGATTCTTGACTTTTGAATTCCAATGTTGACCAAAAAGTCAAAGTTTGACTTTTAGGTGATTGTTGACTTTTTATTCAATTGGTTCAATTATTCAACTATCAATCACTTGTATCTTTGGAAATGTCTTGAGCAATGTAATTAGGTCAAGATGTTGTATTTGAGCTCTTGAGATCATGCTTCAATCCATTAAGTCATGCACTAGGCCAAAAGTCAATGATCAGCCATCCTCAATCAAAACCCTAATTTTGGCAACTTTTGACCTTTGATGATTTGAGGGATTTCCTTGAGGAATCATGATTAACCCTTGATCAAATAATGAATATCACCTCAAAATGTTGATGTTGCCAAAAAAAATCTTGAAGTTTGACTATATGTTGACCATATTTGACTTTTTACCTAATACAGTTGATTTATAATCATCTGAGTCATTGACTGAGCAAACATGTGATGCGAGACTTGAAACTTGACATAAGTGTTATACCCAAAAATTTCCCCTCTACTTTCATTCAAAAATATCCCTCCATACTTCTAGGGCTTTTAATCCCACTTTTGACACCAAGGTTCATGGTTCAATGGTTGTACAATATCAGGGTTTACATTTGAGTTTATCTTGAGTTAGGTTTTGATTCATGATAAAGGTTGTTAAGTTTGAGGATTCTTTGATGATACACTGTTTGTTTGTGAAGAAAATTAACCCAGGTTGAACTTGAAATTAGGGTTTTAACCCCTTTTAAGTGGTGAGCTTCATTTTCAAGTTTCTATGACCAAGTGATTTTTGGATTATTTGTTGGTTCATCTTTTGAGGATGAATTTTGGAGTCTATTTTGCAAGGAATTGTTTGGGTTTTTTTATAGTAAATCATTTTTGGGCATTTAGGAGTTAAAGTGTTCGAATCTTAAAGACTTCAGTTAGAATTTAATTTTGTGATTCAGGCAATTTGTTATTTCAAGATTTGGTCTCAAGATGCAAGTATAATTCAAGTCTCCATTCCAAGTTGTATCATGAAAAATGCAAGAATGTGCCAAGTTTCTCATTTTTTTCAAGTCATCACGTCATTATTAGAACTTTTGGGTTTTTCTTTCAAGTGATTACTAATTCAACATTCAAAAGTTACAAATTAGAATTGAAGTTCTAAATATTTTACAAAGGTATCCAAAATGGCCATAGCTTAAACTTCTCAAGAACTATTCCATTCAATTTACAAGGAGAACAAGCTTCATAGCCTAAATTACAAGTCCTCAAGCCTTACAAAATTCAATTACAATTTTAAAGCAAAACTGCAATTTTCCTATTTTTGTTCCATACAAAGAAAAAGAATTCCTCATTATTCTTGCTCCATTTCAAGTATTGCCTCGGTTCCATCTCCAAAGTCTCCTTTTATCATCTTTCCAAGCTCATATCAATGCCAAGTACATGAAATAAGAGAAAAATAATTAATTAGCAAGCAATCAAAGGTGAACAAGAAATTTGCAAAGTACTTTAGTTCATGGTTAGGGTTTTGGCTTAAGGAATCAAATTTTTAGGGCCTAACTTGGTCTATTACAAATCACAAGTTAAGTTGGTTCACAATAAACAAAGACAAAGAGGTTCAAAACAAAATTTCATCACAAAACAACCCAGTTACAGCAGACACGGGTTCAAAGGCCCAAAGAGACAAAAATTCAAAAGTCAGAATTCACTATCAAGCCCAACAAGAAGCATCACAAATCAGAATTGCAAAAGCCCAGCAAAAGCCTCAAACAATTTTGTTCTATCATTGGCCTAAGAATATCCCTATTGCAAATCACAAGAAAAATTGGTTCACAATAAGAAAAGATAAATCAAAAGAGGTTCAAGTCAGAATTTCAAACTCAACATCATGTTTTCACGCAACAATCACAATCAAAGAAGTCTCACTTTGCTTTGTTCCAACAAAAGTCAAGAACTGCAATATCAATCATAGGCCAAACACCTATACTACAAATCTCAAACAAATGAGCAAAAAATGTGTTTGGTTCATAATATGCATTGATTAAAGATTTAGAAAAAGCAAATGTACTGCACAAATTACAAATCCAGTTGAAAAAAGCAGCAGAAAATTTAAGCCAGCAAGCAACAAGTACAAAAATCCAAGCCAGCAAGCAACAGGAAAACCAAAGCTAGCATAGCAATGTACAAATAGAGTTGGCATATCAGAAAAATCAGAAAAGTTGATGAGTCCAACAAAGCCTGACAAACCGAGCAAGTAACTCACAGTATAAAACCAAGCTTATAGTTCATACATCAAGGAGGCGGAACCGGGGGGGAACCACAACAACAAACTAATCCATTCATTTTTCTGTAACAAAGATGAAAAAATAGAGCCATAGCCACGAAACCTTCCAAATCCATTCACAAAAAACATACAGAAAACCGAGAGGGGCAACAAAACAGTAACCCAATTTTTTTGTTCATCACTTTCCAAAACCAAAACCCTTCAGAAAAGAGAGAATACAGAAACAGAGCTGTAACAAAAAAAACAGAGTTGTAGCAAGAAAAACCAAACCCTAATAACATTGATTCATAATTTTTGCAAACATCAAACCCTTCAGAAACGAAAAGAGAAAGAGATTTCATAACCAGGAAGATCTCATCGGAAATCGCGATCCAGCCGTTAGGGTTTTGTCCCTTCCATCCAAGATCTACTCAAAATCACGCCGAATCTACAAAATCAAACCGAAGATTAAGACAGAGGAGAAAGAAGTGAAGCTAATGATGTAAAAAAAATGAAGATCAGAGCCAAGTCGCCATGAGAGCCGCCGTCGACCGCCGTCCATCGCCGCTGAGGGCGATTTCTAGCAAACCTTCCTGACAGAGAGAACAGAGAGGACTCAAGGGAAGAGAAAATATATTTTTATTTTCTGATTGAAATTCCAATTGTATTTTAGTTTTTTATTTTAATTCAATTAATCTAGTGATGACACTTGTCACCGCCTTTGTGGTCACAGGTCATGGATTTCATGCATCATTACCATAATAGCTATCA